CAAAACTCCAACTCTAGCTCTTCTTACTAATCTAGTTTATGTCATCCTCATTCTCACTGTAACTTCTTTTCCCTGACAGGTCTATTAGGACTCATTCAGGAGAAAGTCAGAGTGACTCAGACATTTTTCCTTTAGCACAAGAATTCTCTGGATTTTAACAAGTCCAACCAGCCATGATGTTGTCAGACATTGAGGAACACAGAAGTGAGCTGGTGTCTTCTGGGAACAGAAGATCTGAGGAAAGCTCAGCATGGTCCTGGAAGAACCTAGCTGGGAGAAAATGAGCCAGGATTCCCAGACCTGCCAGGGTCTCTGCATCAGCAGTACATCAGGGCTGTTTGGAGAGAGAAAACTGAAGTTCCATTTCCATCTTTCACCCTCCCCTGGTGTCCCAGGCCCTGAACTGTTTGAGACAGATGGGGATATTTGTTCAAACACAGAATGGCTGGTTTTGTGTGGGAATGTTCAGTCCGTGGGACTACACAATTCTGGGGAAATCCTATTTTATCTTTACGAAAATGTACTCTCATGTGGCAAAGAAATAGAAACAGTGATGGTGAGAAACAGGACCTTAAGATTAAATGTCCTCTAAAAATGGTGTTATCATGGTAGTTAACTCTTTGGTCTCCTGGAGGTGCTGGAGGGCCACAGAGCTGCTCAGAGGGCTGGAGCACCTCTGCTGTGGAGACAGGCTGAGGGAGCTGGGCTTATTCAACCTGGAGAAGAGAAGACTCTAAGGAGACCTTAGAGCACCTTCCAGTGCCTAAAGGGGTTACCAGAGAGTTGGAGAGGGACTTTTGACAAGGACTTGTAGTAATAGAACAAGGGGGAATGGCTTCCAACTGTCTGATGGGGGGAGGTTTAGATTAGAATTTTTGAAGAAATTGTTATGAGGGCGGTGAGACACTGGTACAGCTGTTGTTAGAAGTAGCTAAGAATCAGATGGATGCATAACTAATTTTATGTTAGCATCTCATCAGGTCTAATCCCTATCCCCAGATCATCCAGAACTGCCAGCCCTGTCCTTGTCATGACTTTGATCAACTACGTCAAACTGGGCCTGTATTATATCTACATATATACAACATATAGATGTTATATATTAGCTGGATCTCAGCCAAAGGATTTAATTCCCAATTTCTTCACCTTTGAACTAGCATGTTGCTTTACTGAGACCAATTTTGACATGGCAAAGGCCTAAAATGAGGCATGGAAAAAAATTAACAAAATGGAAAATTAAACAAAAGTTTCCAGCTCAACAACTTCCCCTACTCAGAGCTATAAAAACTGAACGGAGTAAAGACCCTGTTGAATGAATCCTTACAAGGGACTGTTCATGTCTGGAGATATCACTCCAGACATTTACATGGAAAATCTCAGCCCAGACTAGGGTGTTTTCCCATGGTTTTCCCCAAAAAGCATTCGGCCCAGCTGAGTCCTGAGCACACATTTCCTCTTTCTGGCTCCCTGGGGCTGCCCTTGGCAGAGCTCTCACAGTATGATGGTGATTCCCGAAAAGAAGCTCCTGGACGGGCAGAGTGAGCACATATCCTGGATAAGCCGCACTCGGAAATGCGGAGGGTGGAGAGGAACAACTGTGACATCTTCCTGGTGCCCCCAGTACCTCCTGCCTTGAGCCTCAGCCCCTCTGACCAGAGCTGTGCTTGCTGGGCAGCAAGGTCACCCAGCAAATCTTCATGCAGTGATGTTCTTGGAGAAAGCAGCTGAGCGGAACAAAACCAAACCAAACCCTTTTCATTGCTTTTTCACCACAGAGAGATGCTAAATACAAATCTCAGCACCAGGCTTGCTTGGAGGTTGTGGTCTGAGCAAACCCTGACCATCGATGGGGGCAAGTGGGTATTTTGGTGCTACCAAAAGCAAACAACAGGAAGCCTGATTGTACTTTCTTAACTTAAACTTTTTAAGAAACAAGTAACCACACATCTCGAGACGTGGCACAGGCCAGTAATACACAAAGGGTGCAAGATGCTGAGTATGAGAAGCTGCAGCCAGCCACAGGATATGTCCTCTGTGACCCATGGACCCTTGCAGTCCCTTTTGCCTTTACCGGGGTCATGGCACCATGACAGGAGGCACTTGACACACTGATATAAGCTCAGTCTGTTTGAGCCTGGTGCTAAAAATGCCAAGGTTTTGGGTTCAATACCTGCATGGGCAATTCCCCCCAGAGCTGGAACTGATGATCCCTATGAGCTCCTTCCAACTTAGAATATTCTATGAATCTGTGACTTCTGATTCTCTTTCCAGGATGACCATCATGACTAAAGCCACCACTGGGCCACTACATCCAGTAGCCAAGAAATTTTGATGCAGGGCTGCTCATTCACAGCCCCAGGCACTGCCTATCCTCCAGTGATGGGGTTCAGAGTCTCTGTTGCCTACACTGTGGATTAATATCTGGTTTTGTTCGTTTTGGGGTTTTTTGGTTTTGTTTTGGTTTTGTTTTGGTTTTTTTTTGTTGTTGTTGTTTTGTCTTTTTATTTATTTATTTCAAGGGTTGCACCATACAGTTTCTAAGCCCCTATCTCCTGCCTGCTGGCATTGCTCAAACGTTGGTGCTGCCTTGTCCTACCTGCACCCTGGGGTGCCAAAGCTGATCTTGGCACTAAAGGCTGGAAAACTGAATGAAGGCAGTGCTCAGGAATAGCACTCCCGTCTGCAAATACAGCCCTGCAGAGGTCAGAGCTGGAAACACGGTTGTGCTGGAAGGGCAACTCCGGCGTCGTTCCCAAGAAAGCAGAGGAACGACAAGGAATTTTAGCCAGGGGGGATGCAAGGCAGCAGGAAGGGGACTGCGTGCGTGTGCAAAGCTGTCTCGACACCTCCCCTCGCCTCTTCCCCTGTTAAGGGGGGTCTGCCAGCTCAGGAGTGGCACAGTCTAGCGCAAGTCCTGCCTCCTGCCTCCTTCCTCCTCCTCCTTCTCCTCCTCCTCCCAGATGTTCCCTTGTGTGCAGCCATCTGTTGAGCTCCCTCCTCCCTCCTCCTGCGGGGAAGGGGGCAGCCAGCTTGCCCGGCCAGCTGCACGCCCTGCACGGGAAGGAGGAGGGAGAAGGAGGAGAGCAAGAGGGGACAGCCGGCCCCGGGCCCCGCTGCTGCTGCTGCTGGCGGCTCCCGCCGTGGGAACCGGCCCCGGCCCGGTGAGTGCCCCCTCTGCCCCCAGCCCCTCCCTGACCCCGCATCCCCTCCCTGACCCCCAGCCCTTCCTTGCGCCCTCCATCCCCTCCCTGGCCCCTGCACGCCTCTCTACATCCCCTTCCAAAGTTCCCCGCGTGTGCAGAAGCGTGGGGCTCATTTTTGGGGAGGGGGGACGCTGTGCCACCATGGGCTGAGCCCTCCTCGGGGATGCGCATGGCCAGCCCGGGGTCGCTGCTGCGGAGCCCTCCCCAGCCTCAGAGTGCGGAAACTTTTCCCGTGTGATGAGTTTTCCTCGCGACGGGGTCCAGAGGCCGGGGGTGCAGGGAAGGGGGAAGGACAGAGGTCTCGGGTGGAAGCAAACTACTTTTTTCCCCACCTCTGGTTTTTCCACAGGGGGAACTGTGCGGTGCGGTGGGTGCGTACGAGCCCCCAGCCCGGCTGCCCTCCCGGGATGAGGCGTCTCCAGCTGGAATCCCTTCACTTCTCCTTCCCCCAGTGGAATGGTGCTTTCTAGAGGTCTCGGGATCGCCACGGCTGCAGAGTAATCCGAGCAGCAGCTGGAGGCTCCGCACCGCCTCCCGTGCCCGGCTTCGGGGCTTTGATTTCACACTGGGCTCCCTGTCTCCTCTCCCTCCTCCTCCTCCTCCTCCTCGGGCCCTCCCCTCAACTCTCGGGAGCGAAGAGAAGCTTTTTGGTGGGTTTCTGGTGCTGGGAGGCTCGCAGGGTCTGGAGCTTACTCAAGGTAAGGAGAGAAAGGAGAAGGAAAGGAAAGCTTGGAGGGTCGGCTGGATGGGGTGTGGAAGCTGGAAGGTGCAGAGGGGGGGTCCTTTCCCCCCGGGTTGTATTGATAAAGGCATGGCAAAGGCATTCCTGCCTGGGAATTTCCCATCTGTGAGTGGATTAAGCTGACGGGGAAGGTGTGTATGGGAAGAGGAGAGAGAAAGGCGAGCAAGATTTATTCATTCTCTCATTGAAGAAAAAAAAATTTTAAAAAAAGGGAAGAAAGAAAGAATGAAAGAAGCTGCCGGGTGTGACTTGTGAAGCAGGAGGTCAGAAAGCACGGGGTTCCCCTGATAGTGCACACACCCTGTAAACTTCCAAGCAGCTCCCAGGAAACTTGTTATTAATGCTGCAGTCATTAAAAGGCGCAGCCCACGGCAGATTTATTAGCTCAGTAAACCACAACACGTGCCAAGCTCTCTGGAAACAAAAGGGTCTGTCAACTTCACTCCTCTGGCTTGGAATTTGGGAAGCCTGGGAGGAGAGCGGCGCGGATGGAGCTGGTGGCTTTTGTCGCGGGGCAGTGGCATCGCCTCCGTTAGCCGACGCTCCCAGCATGGCTCGAGAATGCCATTCCGTGGCGGCGGAGGCATCGGTGGGAGCACGGCTGCGAGGAAAGCACAGGGAGCCCTGCTGAGCTCACGGCGCTCGTGGCGGCAGCGGGACGAGCAGCCCCCGGTCTCCCGGACGGAAAGCTTTCCCCGTGTGCCTGCCACGATTAATCAGCTGCCGTCCGCCTGAATAACAGCATTCACTGAAGTTACAGTGGGAAACTTGTCTGGCTGGACACTGTGCCATTGCTGTGAGGAGAGCAGCCGGTGCCGATCGCTGGCGTTGCGCTGAAATATGGCATTGATTGCCGCTCCGAAGGAGAGCTCGGCCGGCAGCACCGGGGTATTATCGCAGCGGTGAGGAGCAGGGCGAAGAGCACCGGCAGAAGAGGCGGCGGGGAAGGGCAGGCTCGGACCGTCTCGCCGATCTCCCCGGGAACAAGAGAGGCACGCTGGATGTGTTGGATGCTGAAAGGAGCGGAGGAAGCTGGCCCGTCCCCGGGAGGATTTGCAGGCTGAACTTGGCCGGGGGCTGGCTGTCGGCAGCCGGGCGCTCACGGCGCAGCGGGTCAGTGTGTGCCATCGCCCTGGCAGAGCGGGGCCTGGCTCCGGGCCCGGGGACCCGCGGGAGGCAGTCCCGGCCATGGGCGGAGGGCACGGGGAGGCGCCTGCTGCCGTGCGGGTATAAATGGCCCGGGAGGAGCTGCCCTGCCCTGCCCTGAGGCCGTGGGTGCGCGGGTGAGCGGAGCCGACACCGGGGCAGGCAGGAGGCTCGGGGGGCAGCACTCGGGCGGATTTTCCCTTGCGGCATCCTGGAGCGGGGCAGACGCTGCTGATTTGTGAATGAATTTGAGCAGCTGCTGTCAGAGGCAGTGGGGAGCAATAACAAAATGCCTGGAGGGAACGAGGACGTGACAGACATCCCAGGGGACATTAATTTCTGATGACAGGCTGGACTGGCAGGAAAGGCTGCAGGGTTGGGATGAGGGTCTCCTGCACCCCTATTCTTTACAACAAAGTGCAAGGAACAAACCAGCATTGAATGGATGAGAGGAAATTGGGAGAAAGGGGGAAAAAACATGCAGAAGTTTTTAGGGGTTATGTGGATTTATTTTTATTTTTTTTTAATATAGGGAAAAGCATCCTGTGCTCCCTCAGGCAGCCACACAGTGAGCAGCAGTGAGTGTCACTCCTGTGCAAGACTGAGCTGGGAATAAAAGGTGAGCCACCATCTTCCAGAGGTTTAGAGTTTTCCCTCCATCCCTAACTGCTTTTTTTTTAACCTCTTTCAGTCTCTCCTCCTTCCTCCTCCTCCTTCTGCTCTTTTGTTAGCTGGTTGGTGGGGAGAAGCAGAGTCTGGAGGGTGGGATGAGACAAGGCATCCTTGTCCAGCAGCCCTCCTGACCCCTGGCACCCCCAGGCTCTGCACGGTAGCTGCAGCACTGCCTGCCTTGGCAGGCTATCAAAAGAAACTTCCCAACACGGAGATGTTGAGGGCTGGGAAGAGATAAAGGCTGGCTTGAGCAAGCTGCTTCTTGTCTTAAAACTTGGCACCTGGACCTATCGAGGCAAATGTATGAATGGCTCAGCCATTCATTACAAGGAAATCTTCATATTTTAATTTTTATTGCAATTTTTTTTGGAGGGGGGTGGAATTAATTTCCTGGGAGTTTCTGTTGCATTCATGGTGTGCAGCAGCGGGGGAAGGAAATTTGTGCTCTGGGAATCGCCCCAGCCTTCCCGTCTGCTTGCAGACACTGCAAGGGATTAAACCATCCTGGCTGCCTTAGCATGGGACATTCCTGAGTTGCATTAACCAGGCTGGAAATCTCCTGTCAGAGCAGTGGCAAACTGGAAAAAAGCACTTTATCTTCAGCCTAGCAGACAGAGGGCCACGTGCTGTGTGTAACGTCTGAGTGCCGGTGTCTGCAGGGTTTCTTTTCCTTCCCGTTCCTCCCTTCCTCATTCTTTTTTGCTGTCTCTGTCTCTGTGATGGTGATTCCTCCCCTTTCCACTGATTCTTGCCAGCTCAAACCCAGGGGTGGGGAGAGAAATCACATAATGGTTTGGGTTGGACCTTAAAGATCATCCAGTTTCAACACCCTGGCCATGGGCAGGGACACTTTCCACTAGAGCAGCTTATTCAAAGCCCTGTCCAACCTGGCCTTGAACACTTTCAGGGGTGGGCACTGTATTTTCAAGGATTTTTTTAAACTTTGAATAAGAGAATCCTCCTCATGAAAAGTTGAGACTCAAACTCTTGTTGTAACTGATAGGTCAAACCAGCTGTGATTCCTCACACCTCTAAGGTGACACATGTGCATGGGGCTTGTGTCACCTGTCTCCAAGTGGGGTAGGACATGTTCCTGACCCCAAAAGTGCCTGTTTTACTCCCATCCTTGAGAACAATATGTCTGTAGCAGTTGGCATGGTGAGGCCAAACTTCACAGAGCAGGACAGGGGAGATCCTTTCTCCAAAGCACTTTAATCCTACTGCAAAAGTTCAGTTTGTATCTGTCCAGGACCAAAGCACTGCAACTTCTTGCAAATGATCTCCAATTCAAAGAATTATAGGATCATAGGGTAACTGAACCTGGCCTGTCTCATCCATCCCCTTCCCTCTCCCCCGCCCATTTTGCAGAGGGCAAAGCAGGGTTGCTAGAGTGTCCAGGAAGGCAGGAGCTGGACATGGTGTCCAGGGACTGTGGTAGCATTTGTCTGGAGCAGTTACAGCAGTGGAAATGTTGGCTGGGGACTCCTTTGTGGGGTGAGACCCATAGGCCTTGTGCTCCCTTCCCAGCTAAACTGGTGGGAATTAAACCTGGGCATGGGGGTGAGTTAACACCTCTCAGACCTAGTACTAGTCATCCCTAAAGTGTCAGGAGGGAAACTGAGGCACTAAAATGGGGACTCAGGGTGGCATCAGTGGTGGGAAATTGGTCCTGCTGGGGAAATGGCTCTCCCAACCCACTTCAGATGATCTTTCTCCAAAATCCTCCACCAGCCAAGAGGGACTGGAGAATCCCAGGCCAAGGAGGGAAGGGAAATAGCTGAGGAGATACTGCCCATCATGGGGGCAATGAAGCATCATCTGCAGTGGGAATCATGGTGGGAATGGCACACTACTGGTAAACCCTTTGTCAGCTCTACCTAATACCCTTCCCCCCCCAAATCCCTCCTTCCCAAACCTTGTAGGAGACCCACTGGATCTAGTAAATGTCTCACATGCTTGACTGGGGTGGGGGCAGCTCCTGAAGCCCCAGCTGATGCTCCACCAAGCAGTTTCATTGGCATTCATTGTTTGCAAGAATTATTGGAGAGGAGGGGCAAAGAAAGGCCATGAGGGGAATGAGATGGGAGCCTCCAGCTGTGCTGTTTGCAACAATAATGGCCAGGATTGTGTTTATTATCTCCTCAGTGGAGGGTCTGCAGCTGCACGCTGAGAGCCACAGACAGCAAAGGGGCCCAGAGATTATTGTGCATGGACAAAAATCCAACCACAAAAACAAATAAAAAGCCCACAAAGGATCCCTGGGCCAGCTGGAGCAGTGCCATCAGGCACCCAGCTTAACTCCCAGTCTCCTCGTTTTGCCCTTCCTTACTGAAGTCAGCAGCCCCTCAGGGCTGTTAGGAGAAGGGAGATTGGCATCTCCTGTCTTTCAGAGAGTTAAAGCTGCATGGGGTCCTCTTAAAATCCTTCTGCCAGGGCTGAAGGTGCTGCCCAGCCAGACTGAATTTCTTTTCCCTGTGCTTTCTCATGATTTTTTCCAGTGCTGGCTGCACCATGACAAAGGCATGCTGTTGGAGGCAGTACTTAAACCTCATCTGCAGCCACCCCTGTTGCAGTGGATTCAATTGGATTCAAACCTCTTAGAGATATTTTCCAACCTTAATGATTCTATGATTCAAGGAGAAAGAGCTGGAAAGCCATTAGCGATACAGGATGATGAGGCTGTGATGAGTTGTTCGCTCTTGGTGGGATGTGTCTCACCAGCAAGAGCAGAGGCATCACCCTGGGATGTATCACCTTCTCCTCCCTCCTCTCTCTTGTTTCCTTCCTCCTGCCTAGCTCATCTTCTCTGGGGGAACCCATCCATGCAGCATGGTCTCACTGCAGCTCAGGCCAGCCCTCTGGGGTGATGGGAAGCAATCCAGATCAGGCATGTGGGGTACATCCATAGGCATCACACCTTTCCCTGCTGGTGAGTCCTTGCAACCTGCACTTCCCTGGCACAGAACGTGGTAGCTGCCATCCCAGGGATGTGCATGGCATCTGGCGTTTCCCAGCTGGGCACAGTGGCATGGCTGATCAGCTCTTCCAACAGCTGAAACCAAGAAATATCCACTGTGGGCAGGAGGTTTCCTCTCCCCATGCTGCACCTCCTAACGTGCCTCTCTGGCATATGGTGTTCATCCTGGAGTGCATTCCTCTGGAATTATATCATGTCTCTGGGAGCTGGAGTGCAGTGAAAAAGCATCACCATAGCAGGAGCTGTCTGGGGTTGGCTGTCAGGTGTGCGCCGCCAAGGGCTGAGCCTCCAGGAGAAGCTTGCTGGCATCATTTTCGCTTTCAATAATTGACTAGTTAAGAAAGGAGGAGGGTTTACTCCTCTCAAGGTTACTGCTGAGATTTGGGTAAAGCCTGGGCACTCCCAGGCTCCCTTTGTGCCTCACAGCGGATTCTTGGGCACTGGAGGTGATGGGGCAGCTTCACCAGGTCATTCTACAGCAAAATGCTCTAGGACTGGCACAAAACTCTGTGTAAACCTCTCCTTTGGCTATGAAGCACCGTGTTGAAGGGCTGGTTTGTTCCCGAGTTTGTGCCAAAATAACGGAGGCCTCCCATTCTGGGACATGTCGCTATGATAAAAATTCTATTCAGGCTGAGTTTGAGATGGTTAAGAAAATATTTGTGTTCCTGGCAGAGATGAAGTCTCTCTTATGCTCAGTGAGTGCCAGGATAGTGAGGTCTCCTGCTCTTGGAAATGCGCACAGTTAACAAGCAGAGCAGGGAGGACAAGAAATAGGAGTTGTTAGGGGTAAAAGAGTTCAGGATGGCCATGCTGGAAGTGATTCTAGAGCAGGAGAAAGTTCTGAGCTCTTCCATCCCTTGCTGGCACCTGTTTGACTGATTCCATGCGTCCCAGGCTGCTGGGAACCACTTGCAGCTGCCAAAGCTCCCTGTTTGAGTGGTTCTGCAGCTGGAATAGCCAGGAGGCAATGGTGGGGCTGGGATGCTCACATCCTGTCTGCTCCCACAGAGCGCTGTGAATCCCTCCTGGTGATGCACCACTCCAACACCTGCCTTCCCCTGCCCCCAGCCACTCAGGAGGCCTGGCAAGCAATTTCCTTTTGGAAATGCCCCCTCTGGGCACAAGCACAGTTTGACTTGAGGCTGGAAAGCAAAATTGCTTTCAAAATCCACAGGAGACTAATTCCTCCACCTGGAAATAAACTGCTATTAAGCTGACAGCTTTCTGGGCTGAGCAGAGAAGTGGGAATGTTTTGCAAATCCTGATGCCACAGTGATTTAATTCCTCATTTTCCTGTGCTGGTTGTGGTACCAGCATTTTCCCACTTGAGGAAAAATTCCCTGGAGCTGGGCTGATCTTCCCTTACAGAATGAATCTTTTCAAGGCACAAAGCTTTTAGTGTGGCAGAAATTGTATTTCAGCCACGGATGTAAATGAGCTGGAAGTTACTGTATGGGCTGGCAGACCTGCCTGCACATGTTTTCCTTTTGTCAGATCCCAGAATACACCACCCTGCACCTTGATTTCCTCCTCCAGAGGGAATGAGGGATGCCTGAGGGGGAAGATTGCACAAGTGGAATAAACTACCAGCTGTTTAAGCACTAGGATGATAAATTATCCCTGGCCTCTTGCAAGGCAGATGGGAATTGTGACATTAACAGTTGTAACAAAGTTTATTTTAATAAGTCTTTCCATTTCTTTATTTAAGAAAGGATTTTAATTTTACATTAAAAAAATAGAGCAGAGACTTTTAGCCAAGCAAGCATTTCAGTGTCTTTTCCCAAGTAACAAGTAATAGGACAAGAGGAAACAGCTTCAAGTTGCATTAGGGGATGTTTATATTGCAAATTAGGGAAAATTTCTTCACCAAAAGGGTTGTCAGGCATTGGAACAGGCTGCCCAGGGAAGTGTTTGAGTCACTATCCCTGGAGATATTTAAAATATGTGCAGATGCGGCACTTGAGGAC